GTTGCTAGACAATAGTACTTATTTTAGAATAATTTATATCTACAGAATTTTTTCTACTAAAATGTTATTTATTCAGAACTAATTATGCCCGATCGAGTAAGTTAGTGCTCTGCGAAACGTTACCTGATTTTGGAAGCTTTGTTCACAAAAAATGACTAGAATTTCAGAAAAACTTTAAAGGCGGTGAGATCAACGCGCGAGAGTATATGGGCCGCTGTACATTAGCTGTTAAGATGCGGTGAATACGCAACTAAATCATTACTAATCATCATCATTACTAATGAGTTACGGTAAATTCGAACTACTAATAGTGAAATCGAGCTACCGTAACACTGCAAAAGAAAGTCGCATCACATGATTGATATTTTAAGTGCTTGTATAAAATGACTCTGTAGTACCTCACCTCCCAAACCATTACCCTTATTAATCAAAGAATTCAAAAATTTGTATACTTTCATCTTTGTGCCTTCAGACCCACGTCGAAAATCCATCATTCTTGGATATTTCGTGAATGAATCTATAGTTAATAATTTCCGCTAAAAGCACTTTTTTCCAGATTCTAAACGGTCCAGTCCAATAATTCAGATAAATGGTCCAGATATCGAGAGTTGACATTTCTTACTGTGGAAATCAAGCTATTATTATACCTAGTATTAAATTTCTTGAGAAGGGCTGAAGTAACAGAAAGGTAACTTTAGTTTGACGCTTGGAATCATTTTTTTTTGATTATCAACTCTATGTAAAACATAAGATTTTCTGTGTTTGAACATTGTTTGCTTGGCGGTCATTTAGCGGCCTCTGGAATGTTTGCTTTTTGAGTGGACGAACATCAAACAAAACCATGTCAAGAAACAGTGCACCTATCAATTAAACTGTCAAACCTATCAAAATTGAATATTCTTCGAAAATTTTTTTCTTTCTTGGCATTTCGGCTCTCGCGAAATCTCTATATCTATATTTGGCATTCTTTGTTTGTGTATGTTTCAAGCATTTACGCACGGGGTTCCGCGCAACGAAGGAGTGGCGTCCGGAGGTGCGGAATCGCTTTGGACGGAGTATAAAGGCCGGTAGCTGACTGCACTCCGGAATTCCGCCATCTTTAACATGTCGCTGATCATCGCCTCCTCTCTTCTTGCCATGGCTGCTGCACAATACGGTAAGGGACTACGGCCTTTTTGATTCCTACAAAGGTCTTAATAACTACATTTTTAGCACCTGTTGCACCACCTGGCGCTATGTGCAATCCGGGATGTATAGGAGGTGCAGCGTAAGTCTCATAAAGTTGATTTCGACTTTTAATTCTTTATGAGAAAATTTATAGAAGAAGGTTCTCCTAGACCTTTGCCATAGTTCAATATCTACTTAGAATTCTCAAATTCTCATTGGTTTTAGAAGCAGGCCAGCAGAAGATTTTGAAAACTAAGAAGCGCAAAAGTATTGCCTTTTGTACATCAG